GCAAGGCCAATCACAGGCACTGAGACATGTTCCCGGTCCGCAGCTGCAGAGATCGGGAAATGTCTCAGTGCCTGTGATTGGCCCTGCGTGCTGACAGCTTCTCGGCGGGCTCGGCATGAGGCGCTTGCGAACACGCCCGAGCCCATCACTAATCATAGAAACCCCCTAAAAGGGGATATAGACAGCATTTCAACCCCATTAACACTAGCCTATCCACTAAAACAATGTGTTTTAGTGGATGGGCTAGTGCGTTGATGCAGCTCCAACAGCGTGCGTTGAATACTAGTGGAGCTGTCACCAATTACTTTTTATTTTATTAAAACTTTATTAGTTATGTACAATGTGTATACTCCACTCAGGTCCCTGCAGCATGTTGCATCTTTCTGCAGCGCACCACCCATGTTGTGGTGTGAACAGGGTACATAGAAAACAAGCGGTGACATAGAAACCTAGTAGTCACCTGCAGTCATCCGATGCAGTAAAACACAGGTCACTGCTGCATTAACAAGAACTGCAGTGAATTAACCCTTACAGTGCAGCTACCCCAGCACTGCAAGGATTAAGTGCTGGATTTGGTCTTCTCGCCCGATCTTCGGACCCACCAGTGGTGACCGCTCACCTCTCACCCTCCATTCCAGCTGTGGAATGTCCCTTGGCATCTTCACGTCTAATAGACTGTATAGACGTGATGACGTCTGGGGCGAAGAGGCTGCAAGAACCCAAGAACCGGTCTAGCAGCCAGACAGGACCACGGATTGGGTGAGTATATCTTTTTTATTTTAGACCCTAGACCAAAATAGCTCCAACGCAAGGGTACATTTTTTAACTGCCTGGAGTTCTTCTTTAAAGAGACTCCGTTGCAGATTTCAAATAAAATGTCAATGTGCAGGATAGGCAAAGAACGTGTTGTGAAGAGGCCATTGCTCTGCAATAGATCGGGGGAGCTGGACAAGCAAATACAAACCCTCGGTTTTGCAGATACGGCCTTCTGTCATTTTTTAAAAGCTAAATATAATATGCCCAACTTATTTTATACAATGGAGTACGCAGAGGGATGTCCCCAATTCTACACCAGAGAGAAATCAGAAAGTAAAGCAGAGACCTGAAATTGGAAGCCAGTGGGTACTCCCTTAAAGGAGAACTATGAGGTGAGTGATTTCCACTCATCCTCATAGTTCTAGCCGACCTGTCACAATGAGACTGTCACAGGACGGCTCAGTAGATCGGGAAGTGAGCTCGCGGTTACGGATCTTTGGGTGATGGGAGGACGCTAGTTTGTGTCCTCCCGTTACCCTTCGGAGAACTATGGGGAAAAGCCCTGACCCCAGAGTTCTCCTTTAAGCCTGCATTCATACTTGAGCATATTTCAGGCGACTGAGAATTGTTTTTGAATGCTTTTAAGGAATTTTTAGGCCTGCGTTTGTTTTAGCCAATGGTTGTTAGATGCAAAACTGGGGCAAAAACAGGCATTATGCTCCTATTTTAAGCACACCCATTGAAGTCTACTACAATCTGAATACAAATTAGTAAATTAAACACCGCTTGGAGCGGTGACTACTTTACAACACACAGGGACCATGGGGAAGAGAAGTAGCCCCCCTCCAGAGGGAAGGACAATTCAGAGATGATTTGAAGATCTACAGCCGAGTAATACACAAATAAGATACATTTTATGTTAATAGTTAAGATACCGTGTTTCCCCGAAAATAAGACACTGTCTTATATTTTTTGGGGCTCAAAAAAACACACTGGGTCTTATTTTATTTTTTTTAATGTACAACAATCCAAAGTTAACGCAAATCCAAATTAAATAATCCAAAATGGCAAAGTTAAGAATAGGGTGATCAGGGCAATCAGAGGTGTCGTACCTTTCCAAGAGCAATTTGGTAACCAATCGCTGGCCAGAATGAGCGAAACGCACTTTCACTATCGATTCCTCATAGGCGGAGTGCATTTGGTATTACTGCGCCTGTGACAGGAGCCGGCGCTATAGAGGTGGCATCGGCTTATGCGGCTCTGCTCCCTCCGCTGCCACCTCGCTTCCTCTAGCGCTGGCTTCATTGGCACCGCTGATTCTCTCCCACGGCTCTACAAGTTCCCCCTTATGCCACCATCGGCCCTGGGAAAGGTCACAACTAGGTCTTATTTTCGGGTTAGGTCTTATTTTCCGGGAAACAGGGTGCTTGAATGCAATTTTAAGATTTAACTCCTGAGTTTCGTGTCACTTTAACAGCTGGGTGAATACATAGTTTTTTTGGCAGTTATAGAAAAACATTGCTGCTCTAATGTCACCTCTTGGTTTCTTGCTACCAGAAGCATAGTGAATGTTTAATGTTGCAGACAACACAGAGTTCTTTTTATCTGATAGAATTGAAATCTTACACTGGGGACGCCTGTTTTGGTGACAACTGTACAAGAGGGAATTTCCTCTTCCTCCCTATTGGGTATCCAGAAAAGGGACAGACACGAATAATCATAATGCTTGCAAATGGCAAGCATTTATTGGTCTGCATGGTCATATGACCGCACAGACCAATGAGAAACTCTTCAGAGCCAGGGACCAGATCCTAAAAGTAAGGAGGGCTTCTTACTCGTCAGCACAGTCATGTGACCACGCTGACCAACAGGCAGGATTTTTCTTTACATGCGATTGGATATATAAAGTGAATGTTTATATAATTTCATGAACAGTCTCATGATGGAAAAAATAAATAAGGGGAGTGACACTTCCTGCCAAGAATGCACCCGCAGAGAACCCAGCCAGGCGGCTACTTCCACCTAAAAATCTTCAATTCTGGTGTCCTCTGGAGCAAACCAAAAATGGATATTTAGTACAAGGGTGACAATCAACCTACATCTGCAAAAAAAACCTTGACCCTGATGAACTACAAGCTCATGTTTAATTTGTAATGAAGTTATAGCCCATCACAGGAGTGAGCTTGGAGCGGTGACTACTTTACAACACACACAGGGACCATGGGGAAGAGAAGTAGCCACCCTCCAGAAGAAAGGACAGTGCCCGCACCAATTCAGAGATGATTTGAGGATCTACAGCTAAGTGATACCCAAATAAGATACATTGTTGGCAATACTTAGGCCTCATTCACACACAACACAAGCGCAAAATTGTATATTGCGTATATACGCGTACATGCGCGTATGTACACGCATATATGCGTGCACTATATGCAATCCCAGAATGCATTATTCGTAATAGAAATGTTAATGAAATGTAGGCGCGTAAAATACGCAGAAATACACTGCCCGGACTCATCTCGGTTCCATTCTGTTTTTGCGCATTTTTACGCTACGCAAATATACGGCTCCATACGCAGCTATGTGTATGGAGCCATTTATTTGCATATGGTACAATACGCGCGTATATGCGCAGCAGTGTGAATGAAGCCTAAAAGCATTGCATTTTGCCGTGATTTTACCATTTTCCTTTTTAGCTTACAATGGGCTTTTAGGTGCCGTCCAGTACATTTGCATGCGTTTTTTGATGTG